TTAAGTAAAGCTTTCAACAGTTTGCACCCCCATAGAAACATAGAGTGAAATATACTGTTTGAGTACTCGTTATAGCATTAAGTCTCAATGTACAGCACACTAAGGACAGAGATCCTACATGAGGAGTAAGTGCACAGTGACTCCTGTTGTTGACTTAACAAATTGACACTCTTGTTTATGGCCTCAGTAATCTCCCCATGCTCCGAGCCCATGTTCTAAATCCGTGTAACTTCCAGATCCAGATTGCTGGTCACAAGGGAGCTCATTCCCAGCAGCACAGTCTTTAAGATGAAATGTTTGTACAACAATGAGCACTTACTTTCTGGAATTACTAGTGGTCTAGAAATGAGAAAATAAGAATGTCAGGATTTTTGTTTTATGTGCCAAAGCCTCAATCCTCAAAGCCTTATTCTTACTAAGAAAAATAGCTTTGTGAGGGGATTAAGATTTCATCACAGCCCATAATGAGATAAATGGATATAGCTGGCTGTGGGTTCATATCATTCATCTTTGTGAACGTGTGTCTAATGGAATTATGACAAAGTTTTGGTACAAAATGTATTTAAGAAGGTCAGCAGCAAATCAGACCTAAGTGAGAGGACAGTAAATGGGGAACAGAGAGTGCTCAAAATGATGTCAAGGGGCTGGTACTGTGGCATAGTGGGTACAGCCACCGCCTGCAGTGCCAACATCCCATATGGGTGCTGGTTCTAGTCCCAGCTGCCCCACTTCTGATACACCTCTCTGCTATGGCCTGGGAAAGCAGTGGGAGATGGCCTAAGTCCTGGCCTAAGCCCCTGCACCCACGTGGGAGACCCAGAAGAAGCTCCTGGCTCCTGGCTTCAGATTGACACAGCTCTGGCCATTGTGGCCATCTGGGGAATGAACCAGCGGATGGAAGACCTCTCTCTGTGTAACTCTTCCAAGTAAATAAATAAATATTTTTAAAAAGCACTATGTCAAAATATAGAAGACATGGTCAAAAGAAATTGGGCATTTTGTCTGGAAAAGAACAAGAATAGACTTAATGATACAAGGACCCCTTTCTTTAAGTCTCTGAAGGTCTGTAAATCTCAAAACATGTTCAGTACAAAGGGCAGTGCCAAGACCAATGTGTCTGTGTGTGTTGGGGTAGAGCAGCTAGAGTTGGGGTACCTACAAAGATTGGATTCTGCTCAATGGAGAAAGTTCAATATTTCTTAGGCATCCATGTAAAAGTACAGCATGTTAAGAGTAAACATGTTGTATGGGGGGGAAGCCATTGTAATCCATAAGCTGTACTTTGGAAATTTATATTCATTAAATAAAAGTTTGAAAGCAAAAAAAAAAGAGTAAACATGTTGAACATAAACAGAGTGACTACTTGCTCATTGGCTTATCTATACTCTTTCAGAAAAGCAGCAAGTAGAATGTATGTATGGACTGGTTAATGAGTTATCCTCCAATGAGAGTCCCAGTAAGGATTAATAGTGTATGTATACATAATGAAAAGTTCATGGAAAATGGAATTTAAAAAGAATAGATGGGGCTGGCACTGTGGCATAGTGGGTAAAATCACGCCTGCAGTGTCAGCATCCCATATAGGCACCAGTTCCAGTCTTGACTGCTCCACTTCTGATCCAGATCCCTGCTAATGTGCCTGGGAAAGTAGCAAAGGATGGCCCAAGTGCTTGGACCTCTGCACCCACGTGGGAGATCTGGAAGAAGCTCCTGTCTCCTGGCTTCTGATCAGCCCAACTCTGGCCATTGTGGCCATATGGGGAGTGAACCAGCAAATGGAAGACTTTCTGTGTCTGTCTGTCTGCCTGTCTCTCTCTCTCTCTCTCTCTCTTCCTCCCTCCCTCCCTCTCTGCCTCTGCCTCTCTATCTCTATAATTCTTTCAAATAAATACTTCAAAAAAAGTGTGTACATTTCTACAAAGCTTTTGAAGACCCACATATCCACAGAGCATTTCAGAGCATTCAGCTACTTCCAATATCAAAATAGATATGCAGAAGGAAAATATAAAGCTAGTCACCTTTTATTCAGAGGGTAACATTGGAAGGAAAATTAAATTCCCAAAGCAAATGAAGACAGAACCAAGGATATGTAATATGTAAGAAATTATAGGAAAAAAAAGCTGCTTTCATTTTTTGTTAACTAATACTTCATGTGCATCTCTATTGAGTAAGCTGTGAAATAGGGTCTAGCCTTTTGATTGTGGCCTTTACCAGTTTTAGTCTAATTCACTGATCATTGTATGTAGTTAAATGCTATTAGACCATCCTACCAATTAACTCTCCAGTCTTATCATACCCATTAATTTTTGTATCCTTTTCCCAGTATCTCTCTTCTTTTTTTTATTCTGTAGGCTGGGCACGTGTTCAAAGTCTGAATGACTATCTTGTAATTCTAGAAACTACATTGATGTAGAATATTCTGCATCTAGAATGCCCTGCCTAGAATACTGGTTGCAAATGTACTTGTGGTATCTTCCATTAATTAATTTTGTTTTATGTGCTTGGGAGTAGAACAATTGCAGATCATTATGCCACACAGTAGGTATATGGTCATCTGCTTTTCTGGCCAATGAGGCTGGCAATGTGTTTGAAGGAACAAGCATTTAGGTTGCCTATTCTGGATTCTGAAGTGTTGTCTCTTTTGAAATTACAGAAATAGCTCAGAGGGAAGCCTGCTCTCTAGATGAGAGCCCAACTATTTAAAACACAGCTCTATTTTCTGAGACATGTTATTTGCTGATTAAGCTTGGGAGTAAATTGTGTCTTTTGGTGAACTGATTATAGTGTTGATTGTTATTAAATGATACACATAGTCCTGCCTGAAAGTGGAATCTTTGTGGATGAGTACAGTGGCTTTGAACACATCAGTATGTTGAACATATCAGTGCTTCAGTAGGGGCACAGTATATTAAGCCTAAGGGATGGTCCTGGAAACTAGAGAATCAACAAGATCTGAATTACTTTTGGGCCAGAGCCCAAAGCTGATAGATATAGTAAATACAGTACAGATGGAATAGATGTGTTTCCTTTCTCTCCATGAGAGAAAAGGAATGATATCATAGACTACAGTAAGCAGCCCCATTATATACATACATTAAATCCTGGAGGGCACCATTGGTATTAGTTGTGTTACTGGCATGCTCAGCTGGGTTCACATATGCTGAACTGGGGTGGAACTTGTTTGATTTACTTTAATGTTGAGATGTTTGATAGGCTAGAATGGATATTGCTCTGCTGGAGCAGGTTGCTTTGAATTGTGCTGTGTTTGAGTAATGCTTATGTAGGTGGGGTAGGTGTGCTGCAGTGGAGTAGACAGGGCTAACATAAGCAGGAAAAGAGAAACTACGTAGTGGGATTAACATCACTTATTTGGATATCTGCTGGGGTCTAAATGCTTGTGTAAAATTGAATAGATTTTATTGAAATTTAATCCTCAGGATGATTAAACCAAGAGGTGAGGTCTTTAGAAGGTTACTAGGTCATAAGGTCTCTGCTATAATGAATAGGATAAATGTCTTTATAAAAGAGGCTTAATGAGCTTCATGGCTGCTTCTGCCATCTGAGGGCAGAAAAGGCACTAACTATGAGGAATGGATCCTCATCAGACACTGAATCTTCTGATGCCTTGATCTTGATTTTCCAGCCTCCAGAACTGTGAGCAATAAATTTCTGTTGTTTATAAATTACCCAATCTAAGATATTTTGTTGTAGCAGCCCAAATGGAGTAACACAGTGTCATTTTGAACTTGGCAAATATGTTATGAGATTCATCCATTCACAGACACACAGACACACACACACACACACACACACACACAGAGAGAGAGAGAGAAATGTTTAGTGAGTACCGCCTAAGTAACAAGTCCATCTTCTGTGTACTGAGAATACAGAAATAAAACAAGGATGATGCATTTCAGAAGCTCTTCGCTAAAGAAAAATACTTGCAAAGGAAGTATATAAAGTTGTATCAGTTATATACAAATCTCAATCACTTAACCCAACAAAACTGTTTCTCATTAGTGCAGTCTATAGTGCATCCAGGTAACTCTTCAGGGTAGTTATTCTTTTTTTTTTTTTTTGTCCAGGCAGAGTGGACAGTGAGAGAGAGAGAGAGAGAGAGAGAGAGACAGATAGAAAGGTCTTCCTTTTTCCGTTGGTTCACCCCCCAAATGGCTGCTACGGCCGGCGTGCTGCAGCTGTCCAACTGTGCCAATCCAAAGCCAGGAGCCAGGTGCCTCCTCCCCGTCTCCCATGCGGGTGCAGGGCCAAAGCACTTGGGCCATTCTCCACTGCCCTCCCGGGCCACAGCAGAGAGCTGGACTGGAAGAGGAGCAACTGGAACAGAATCCGGCGCCCCGACCGGGACTAGAACCCAGTGTGCTGGTGCCGCAGGTGGAGGATTAGCCTATTGAGCCACAGCACCGGCCTTTAGGGTAGTTATTCTTCCATAATTCCAGACTGTGTCAACCTTATAATAGCACCAAATCAATGTGTGTTTCTGTGATCACCATAGCATGGTGACCTTACATTAGAAATTAATTGTGCCATCCCTGGAGGGCCACACAGTACTTCTTCCCAGAACCACAAACAGTCACATCTCTCCTCCATACTTTAAGTGGGCATTGTGGAGGGAGTAAAATCATCCTAGGTTCCTAGAAGCAAAAGAGAGTCAGACATTACAATATTTGAAACCTACGACAGGTAAAGGGTAAGCGCGCTGTGAGAGTCCTGCATGTGTGAATGTCAGAGATCTTTAAGGGCCCATTGCAAGCTATTGGGGTGGGGAATTGCCATCATTCTTAATGATAGCCAAAGGAATAGACTCTACCTATATTTAGTGTGTTCTCTGTAAAGAAATAGTACAGGTGCAAAGTTTTGGAAGGATTTTACTATGACTGTGCCAGGTGAACTTTCTCAGAAATAGCAAGTTGACTAATGGCTCTCTGAGATAAAGTAACAGCCTTTAATGAGACCCTGCTTTTCTATTTTCTTTCACTTAGATGCAGTGACTGAAGTGAAAACTGATATCTATGTGACCAGTTTTGGCCCTGTGTCAGACACTGACATGGTAAGTTCCTGCAAAAGTAAAAATGAAAGATGATGTAGCAAATCAAAGAAAATAAACTGAGGTTTTCCCACTATACTTCCTTATATTCATGTTCTAAGGAAATGACCTTTTTCATTTGAATCCCTTATGCTCACCACCCTACATTTTGTCAAGTCTATCTATTCCCTGCTATCTCCACCTATTCACTATAAAGCATATACCTTTGGCAAATATTGTCTTCTCTTTCTTCCATAACTCATATTTCAAAACCTAACTTGGCTCCCTATATTCTATTGAATCTTCCCTCACCTCTCCTTTCACACCTTAATTTCAAAACTTAAGAAAAGCCATATAATTAAGAAAAGAAAATGCACATTATGAAAAGCAACTATGTGTGAATTTCAACATATTTTTCACTAAAATAAATTAATCTTTTGACTCATTTTATTCTACAAAATATTTGAAGTCCCCTCATATTGGTACAGGTAGCTCACGTGAGGAGAGCATTGTGGTAGGGATTCTCAGTCAAGCAGCCAATGGGTGTCATCCAAGAAGGTTGTTCCTTGCAATGGACTCTATTAACTGGATTCATGGATTAACCAGAGTGATACAAATAGTTTGGAAAAAGAGTCTAAACTACTTCTGGAAACTGGTTCTTTAACAGACGTGGATGGAGGAGAATTTCGATACAGACTCAAGGAATAAGACAGAGCACAGCAGAGCTTGCACTCAATAAATTTCCATCAAATAACTGACTTTGTGTTGCAAATAAGAATCTCAATATCAAGTAAAATATGTTTAAAGAATATTAAGTGTCCGTGTTCACTGCTTACACTTTTTGTGTATATATATCTTTAGTGAGGCAACTAACATAGCAGAGGACACATCTTCTTTCAGTCTGTAGAATACATACAAATAGTTGTATAAGGAAGTGTTAGAGTTTTTCCTAGAGGTAATGCACAACCATTGAATGTGTTTGAGCAGGATAGTGAAAATATACAAGACCTGTTTTAGAATGATTGATCTGTTGACCTGTGCAGGATGAAATGCAAGGGGGGAACGATTGTAGGCTGAGAGTTGGTTTAGACATGTTGATTTTACATGGCTCTTCAGTTACTGTCCAGATCTAGAGGCCAGTTGGGGAAGCAGGCTATTTCGCAGGAGAGAGTCCCTCAATACGTAAGTGGTTGGGAGCCCAGGTAGGGAAAAGGGAGAGGCATAAACTTTGTATTTCAAGCATGGAATAAAGAGAAGGGTTCACAGATTCCCTGTGAACTCCTTGAGGACAAGTGCCCAATCTTCATGGCTTCCCTGGCACTTAACCAGGCACTTGACACACTGGGAGAGCTGAGTAAGCCACCTATTTGACTTATGAGCAACGGAAGAGATAGCTTTCTTAGAAGCCCAACTCTGCATTAAGGGATTCTGAGGATTCCTATATTCAGAGAGCCAACAAGCCAGTGGGGATACTTAGACTCACCAGGGATGTAAAACTCTTTCTTTGAATGGCTAGGAACTAATTATCAATTAGAACTTTTATATGAAAGTAACTGAAGCTACTCTTTTAAACACAAATACACATATACTCATAAATATTCATTCTCACTAATGCACCAACATATAAAAATACATTCAGACAAATGTACATGCATGAAACAAATGCATTTGAGTACAAATAGCCCACATGCTGCCTCGGGCATTCAATAGACACATATACGCAAACAGATAACTAAACCCTTAGTGGCCCCAGAAGCACACACATAGTTCCTGCTCCAAGCACCTCTTTTTCCTGATCCTTTGCCACCCAATCAGGCACATGTGTGTGTGCAGAGGCTCAGATGACATTTCTAATCATCTAACCTTTCTCCATATCTCTTTTGAAGATTCATATCCCACTTGCTTGTTTGTTTCTGTTCCTCATCATTAAGCTAAAGCAACAGAAGGGCTCTTTCCTGATAGGGAGGGCAGACTTTGGTCAAATTAATTTTGTGTTATTTTTAGCAGCACTTCCATCCTGTTACAAGGCAAAATGTCTGCAATTAGTCTGGCTGTGAAACAAATTTCTGGTGTTTTAAAAATTCTTTTCTCCCTGTGCTTCTTCAGAGTCTGTGTCAATTGATCTCAGGGTCAAAGCTGACTGGACAAAGAACCAGGCAGTTCTCTGATTTTAGCAACTAGTTGCAGCAGGAGCTCAGGCTCCCCTGAGACCACAGACTGCTTAGAAAAGTAGATGGAAATTAGGGCTGGCTGAGTTCTTACCTCATTTCCATCCATGCAGAGAATTTGGGACCAAAATAGTTTCCTAAGGAAATAATGTTTCCATCAAAAAGAGAGAAAATTGTGATGCCACTTTGAACAGTGAAATAGCACCAGCCATAACACTTTGCACCCATTTCGTTCCTTGGTCACATACTGCCCCCCACAACTCCTTACTTGACAGAAACTCCATTTTGTTATGGGTCATTTATGTTTGGTTCATTTTACTACCATCATTGCCTGACTCAATGTTTGGCACATGGTAGACTCCCAAGTATTTGTTAAGCACAAGAGTCAGTGAGATGAAATAAATTAAATTTGGGGAATGAATTATTACCATGACCCCCCACTTAAGTGAAAGCAGTGGAAAAGCAGAATACATGTCAGGTGCATCTCTATATCTTTATTTAAAAGTATTAATATCTGCCCATGAGAGTATTTCAGGCATGGAAAGCCAAGACACTCTGGCAAAAAAAAAAAAAAAAACAAAAAAACAAAAAACAAACAAACAAACAAAAAACAAAACAAAACAAAACAAAAACCTAAATGAAAGATCTCCTCAAGTGAGATCCCAGTGGAAAGAACGGGTCATCAAAGAAGGAGGTACCTTTCTCTGAAGGGAGGAGAGAACTTCCACTTTGACCATGGCCTTGTCTAAATATGATCAGAGTCAGTGAACTCAGGGGGCTTCCATAGCCTTGGCAACTCATGACAAGAGCCTAGGGTGATTACTGAGGCCATAAACAAGAGTGTCAATTTGTTAAGTCAACAACAGGAGTCACTGTGCACTTACTCCTCATGTAGGATCTCTGTCCTTAGTGTGCTGTACATTGAGATTTAATGCTATAACTAGTACTCAAACAGTATTTTTCACTTTATGTTTCTGTGTGGGAGCAAACTGTTGAAATCTTTACTTAATATATGCTAAACTGATCTTCTGTATATAAAGAGAATCGAAAATGAATCTTGATGTGAATGGAAGGGGAGAGGGAGCGGGAAAGGGGAAGGTTGCGGGTGGGAGGGATGTTATGGGGGGGGAAGCCATTGTAATGCATAAGCTGTACTTTGGAAATTTATATTCATTAAATAAAAGTTTTTAAAAAATGAAAAAAAAAAACCTGAAGAGTAGTAGATGATTATAAGGGAAAAGCCAGAGGAAGAAAAAAATCAGTTCTGAGTACAAGAGATAAGTTGGAAACTGGTTGTAATTGAACCTTTATAGGCATCATCAGTGAAAAGTTTATGTTTACCATTTGCAACTCGACAGTTAGATGACACATGGCTCCTTTGTAGTAATACGAATTGCTGTGCCCACAATTTCCCAGGAGAAAAATAGAACAAGGGATAATATCCAAATTTGAGTGAACTGAGGTCATGCAACCTTCCATGATTATCTATTATTAGGAGAATTTAGATAATTTTCTCAAACAGATGTATGGAAAGATGGTAGAAGTTTAAACAGGAAGGCTGCCAAGGATTTAGTGGTTTCATTGCCACTTCTGTCGCATATTGAGGCTGTTCATCACTTACCAGTAGAAAATTGCTCTTGGAAAATGGATATTTTCCTGAATCTCCCCATAGCCTTTGAATTAGAGTGTAGAAACAGCAGAGAACTGGCTTACAGTGAGCATTTTATTCATATAGTCTGGGATTGTAAAGGAAGTTAGGAAAGTCACTGCTGAGAAAACCTTTGAATGTTCTTCTGGTCCAAACAACCATCTGACTGAGCTCCCATTCTAGCTCTCAAGATAAGGTCCTAGAAACTGCCCTATCTTCTCTTCTGATCTTTGAGCAGGTCAAAGGACCTAAGGTTCTTTGTTATATTTTCAAAAGGTATCTATTAAAATACTGTTAAAAATAGTGAGAACATAAGACAAAGAGGAGTAATGTTAGGAGAGTCAGGGTAGGAACAACTAGGAAAACTAAAATTCCAGTACAAATATTGTTAACTCAAACTTTTCGCATGGATAATTTAACTACTTAGATATTGCTAGGTAAAAAGTGCCAACTGTCACTTGCGAACAGAGAAACTTCCTAGGGTGTACAGTGAACAACCAGGTAATGATGCAAATAGAAAATAAAATAAGAGAACTAACCACCTAGCTTAACAAACAAATAAAATGAAGGCTTAGGAAATTAGAACTCATAAAATACATTATAGTCATAATTCTTGATAACAGATTCAGGTAACATTTTGACCTGACAATTGCTTATGAAAATCATGCAAAGTTATCAAAGTATTGAAACACAGAAAAAAAAAGTGGTGTTAACTAAAAAGCAAATGACACCAGGGCCCCTTTCTTGGTAGTAGCATGTTTGAAATTATTGTATCTGTTTCTTCCCTAGCACTGGAAAAAGTTGCTACAACCACCTCAATCCCTCCCTTACTGACAATGTTAGGCACGAATGGATGGGAGCTTTTATTTCGAAAGCCTCTTAGGCTGTCAGTTTCCTCTTACTACAAAAAATGTTGTACTTCCATATGTAGTATAGAAAGGGATCCATGGAGGCCAGTGTTGTGGTGTGGCTAATTAAGGCGCAGCTTGTGACCCCAATATCCTAATGGCAGTGCTGGTTTGTGTCTTGCTTCCTCTCCTGATCCAGCTCCCTGCTAATGGATCTGGAAAGGCAGCAGAAGATGGACCAGTTATTTTGGACTCATACCATCCATGTAGGAGACCCTGATGGAGTTCCTGGTTTCTGGCTTCTGCCTGTCCCAAACCTGGCTATTGGAGCCATTTGGGGAGTGAACCAGGAGATGGAAG